GGTCTGTTGTTTGCAGTAAATCGTAGCAACTTCATGCCGTTATTGTTGAGGTCACTAGGGAAGTTTTTCGAATCACGCCGTTCCACTTTTCAGCGTCTACTCCGACGTGCGGATTGAAATCGGCTATGAATATGAGAGACCCCGTAATCGGCACTTCGTAGAGAATGCATTCCACTTCCTAAAGGAAGAATCATTGTCCCTCGAAATTGGGTGCGTATGGACTGTACCAAGGTCAGCGTTTCAGCCTGTTGTTGGTTCAGACGCAGGATCACGTTCCTTCCGCTAACAGATTCCCAGTCAACCATGTTCGGTTCTGCCAGAACCCCATCATGGGCCTGAGCGGGCGTCTTGACTCCAAAATTCGCTCATTTTGCTCAGTTTTCCTGCTGTAAGAAGTATGATAAGGATAGTTTGTCTTTTATGGGTCGAGCCTGAAGCTCTTTTTTGACCGTTCGAACAGGAGATCTTCATTTCTGAAGCTTGCGCAATGAGTTTCTTCTGCCAGAGGTAAAATAGTCAACATATTTCTTGGTGGAAGGTTTCTTTCATAGTCGCCAGGCACAGTTCCCAAATGTTTTCTGTTCCGGACTTTATCAAAGTGTGATTAGCGACTACGATTCGACAGTTCGCCTTCAAGATATGTCAGTATACAGAAATGTTCTTTGTTGGGGTATTTGTCAATGGGTCAATGAGTCTCCAAGATTAGACGGTTTTTTCTGAAATCAGCTGGTTCGCCAATCAAAGTTAGGCGCCGATTCTTGCTTCTTGGTCGTGTGCCGTTCTGTGAGCGAATCATCGACTGTCGGACAACAGTCTAAGCTTTCAAAATACAGCGTTGGGAGAAATTTTCCTTTTTTCTAAATGGTCATCAGATTAAGATGATGCCGCTGATGCCGAGTTCAGTTTCAATACTGAGGAATGTCAATGCGTTTCATGTTGTGATGATGCCAGTCATCCTATTTTAAATCTATGATATATTGCTGCCCCTTAAATAACCAATAAACTGTGCTTCAAGTTTTAAGAACTATGTTTTCCTTCATATTTATCTATATGTCGATAACCGATGTATGAAATTTTATAATGGAACTTCCTTGAAATGGGGTAGCTTCCGGCAAATGAAAAATAGCAAGTAACTTCATTTTGTATCAATCAGACGTTTTTTGTGTCACGAATAGACGGATTTTGCATGAGCTAAAGGTAGCTGGAGTCATATCTAAGGCGGAAAATCGATTGGTTAATCGTTTGGATCGAAAGATTCATTATATCGGCAGTAATCCGCATTGATCGGGTAGGTATCATTCTGTTTCTAAAGACAACTCAATATATGATCACAGTAAAATGTCAGTCAGCCGCAACGGAAGTTTTGATTAATCACAAAGTGTCTCCCAGTTCCGGTGAAGCTCTGATTCGTTACCCGTTAAAAGTACCATTTGGGTCTTGCGGTAAGTCTGCTTTCCTCCACAAGCTCCTCCTCAAAACGGTCATGTGGAAAATGGTTTTAAGGAATGCATGACTCTTTCTAGTTTGATGGGAGTTACAGTTTACTGTAACTACATGTTCATTAGGACTACATGAATGATATAGATGATTTACATACCGTTTTAAAGGAGTTTAAAACTTGCGCTGGTCGTGATTTCAATAAAACATGGAATTTAAAAAAATTGCTGACAGGAAAATTGACTGTTTATTTTTGTTTAACGACTGTACGCAGATTTATGAACAATGTCCGTGGTATGGGTATTAAATTAACATTGCACACTCAAACTTCACGAGGCTAAAGCAGAGCAGGCTATTAGTGAAACAGATTTAGCCTGAAGATTAAAGACGTAGATATACAGCTGAGCGCATTGAAGGATTAGAATGGCATGAATCAATCAATCATTCGAGTCAGATAGCCATTTCTGCATTCATCCAACGAGTCATGGTTATTGGGTTGCGAAATTTTAAAAGCGAACAGCATGAAATTATTTCATTTTGTAGGCGTCTGACGAGACAATCTGTTGCTGTGAGAGTCCATCAATTCAGTCACCAAAGATTGGTTATCATTTGAACATGAGATGCACCCTAGGGTGACAATCAAAACGTAGGCAGCACTCGAATCTCGCTCAGTTTTCACAACGTTGAAGCGGTACTTTTATATCCTTGAGTTTCCGTTAATGATTCTGAAGGAAGAGTCAACATTGACTAGTCGATCGTGAGGCACTTCCGGTCGGAGGTTCCGTCCCTCAGCGTTTCCGATCGTTTGCAGATGACGATTCCGCGGTACAGAGATACGCGTATCAGGTAGTTCATTCGATCGACCAGGACTCGTTTGCCTCTCGCAGTCTTTCCGCAGACAGCACCTATTTCCAGCCGCTCACACAGATGCCTCCAATTGCTTTCCTTCGGATTCATCTACTAGCAGCATTCCGCTACAGTACTACCACCGGCATCCGGTCGGAACAACTTTTGGTAAGTTGAGTATGGTGTCTGCTACCTCAAGTTTACTCTGAAACTTTTTCGACTGCGCTTTACTGCTACGCGTTATTGCGAAGATAACAGCAAACCGGCGCCATGAGAGAGCATCTACTTGAGTTTTTTGAATGGTTTTGTTACTCCAGGCTTTGAACGATCGCTTGGGTGTTCTATGACTCTTTCAAGAATATTGCCTGAACATGTGCTGCAAGTGAATTGGCTGGGATGTAGGACATTGATAAACCTTTGAAGAGAGCTCGCCATTTCCGGTCATAAGCCCCGATGAGAAAGGAGGAGGGTTGGAGACCGTGGCAAGTCTCCGTAAAATTCAGCCACCTGCCACTCATCATATTGACGCCATCGAAAATTATACCGGCTCGGTCGTCGCCCGGGTTACCAAGGGCCGCGCAGGCTGTTG